CAACTTACTGAGACAAAGATGGATTTATAGGTGCCAATCTATCAGTATCTTTCATTAATTTTTCAAGATCCGTCTTTCTTTTCGATGTATTATCTATGGAAGAGGTACTACTTTTTTTTACTGCACGTGAAGAAGTAGAATTTCGAATCTTTGGTTGTGCTATCTCTGCTAATTTATCTGATAAAACTTCAGAGTGAATCGTATCATTTATACTAGATAAATTATTACCAGAGTCAGTCACTTCATGGCGGGATATATTAGACTGTACTTGTGCACTTTGTGTATTGCTTCGCAGGTATGGGCTATATGAATGAGGTATAGGTTGATCCCAGAGAACTCTATTAGCCTCTTCTCCTCTCCAAATTTGATAAATACGTTTTGTTGATGTTTTATACTTTTCTGTTAAGTCTTTCAAAATTTTATATCTTGGTTTTATATCACGGCATTGCATAATATAAGTATAGTCATCAGAGGTGAATGGAGATGCATCACATTTCATACGTACTCTGACCATAGTGATAAATACTTTATTCTTTTTGTTGTTTTAAAAATATAAGATATTTATATCTAGCAAAAAATATCGAAAAAATGTAACATGTTAAATATACAAGTCTAATATTCATTTGATATGGATGTTCTAATCTAATACATACACATATTCCATTTGTTACAAATATCACATATACCCCATATGATATATCAAACTCAATATGTGTATATTTAACTTTGTTAATATGGGAGTTCACTATATAAGTTATATATATCATCAATTTCTTTATCCCAATTAATGTTTTGTTTATTTTGGATTTGGTATATATGATCAGTAGGGTATTCTTGATTTCGCCAAATCTGATAAACACGGCGTGATGATATCTTATATTTTTTTGCCATAACTTCTGAAGCACATTTCATCGAATTTTTAGCATTAATGATATCTCTTATATTATCATCTGATAAAGGCGTTGCATCAGATCTTAAAAATCTTTTAGTCATATTTATTGAATGCAATTAATATTAGTTATCCACTATTTAATTTATTTTTAGATATCAATAAGATGTCACAAATTCATACATTATCAGATATAGGTGAAGGCAAAAAACTTGGAGACATGCCCACCAATCGATATCCGTCTAGCCGAA